ATAGTACGAGGCTTGACCTCAGCTCGCCAAGGTAGTATGATGCTCGAGTCAAAAAATCGTAAAGCTCAGCTCGAGTTCGATTTGAGAAAAATGTTTTATAAAAATAAAAAAATTATATATAAAAAAATACTTTTTATTTTATATTTAAAAAATTAAGAATTATAATAATTAGTTATCATTATATATAAAATAAAAATATTATATATATATATATATATTATTTTCTATAATTTTATATTATTATTATTATTATTATTTTTTATATATATGTAGCTATTCGAGCTCGACTCGCGAGCCTCATGAGCCAAGCCAAGCTTTTCACGACCCGAGCTCGAGTAACTCGTGAAGAGCTTGGCTCGTGACCACTCCTATAAACCCCTAAGCGCATAGTAAAGAAAGAAAAAAATGCAAGTAAAGAAGGCACAAGATATGCAAAAAAAAAAGTGTTTCTATTGATTTCATTTGTGTGCTTTACAAAAAATGGCCTCAGATGGGGGAGGCCGAGCCCCTTACAAAATTATAAACAAAAAAAAAGAAAAAAGAAAGAAGAAGAAAGTGCAACTCAAGCGTTCTCCTCAGTCATTTCAGCTGGTGTAGGGACCTCAACTAGTGCATGAACTTCGGCTTCCAACTCAGGAAAGAGCCCAAGTTTGTTGATGTTGAAGTCAAGCATCAAAGCGAGCACCTGGGCCTTGGTGTCCTCAATGCCCTCCAAGTACGACGCAGCTCCATAATCGGCCAGCGCCTTGTCGTAGTCGGCAGACACCTTGAAGGCCTCCACGGCCTGCTCTGCCCTCTTTTCGATAGACTCAAGCCGCTCCTCGGCCAGGATTCTCTGCTCCTTAGACACCTTGAAATTTTTGTTATCTGCCTTCAGTGTGTCCTTCAAGGTCTTCACTAGATCCTTTTCGGTCGTAATCTTGGCCTCCAAGACCTTCATCAAGTCCCGTTCTTCACGCATGACCAAGACGATGGACTCTTGTCGCACAAGCCGACAACATAGCAAGACACCTGCAAAAGAAATGCCTCCATTAGCAACATAAAGCGAGAAGTAGAAAATTTATCTAAGTGACTGAAAGCAAGTATTACTTACCTCAGCCATGTGATCCATAAGGGCGTCCCGAACCCCTTGCACGCCTTTCTTCGTCAAGGCAAGCTTGTCGACCGGCGGGACCGTCCCAATAATCAGAGCATGGCTGACCCCTAGTGTGATAGAGTCCCCATCCTTCACACTTCACTAGGGATGGAAAGTATGTTGCACTACCAAATGCACGTCATCCCGCGGCTCAGACGACGCATGAGGTTTCGAGTGGAGATACCCCCCAACGACACCCTCGGCCAAGCACTCCCTCGGTGTGCTTGCACCTTTTTCGCCATCCTCCGCTTGGCGATCCTTGCTAGCTAGCCTCTTACCCTTCGAGGGTTGAAGCGGCTCGGTAGGCCTCTTCGGGGCGATCTCCCTCTGCCGGTCTCTTCCCCCTCTCGGCACTAGCATCCGTCTGCATTAGCGGCCGAGGTAACCTCTTGGCTGGTGCCCCTCCCCTCAGTGCCTATTTCTTTGACTGGCCCTCGCCAAGGGCCTTCTTTAGTGATCTCGTTGCCTCCAACAACAAGTCCTTGGCATTCAGTGGCATCTCTGCAAAAGGAAAAAAAAACACATTAGTACCTACTCAAAAAAGCAAGTCGGCGTGTTAAGTCGATAGTAAGAGTTCTCCTACCGAGGCGAGTGGGGCTGAGGCCAACCCACACTAAAGCTTCCTCCTCCACCAGGGGCTCGGCCCAGATCTTCCCCGACACCTGAATATGGGCAATCACCACAGCCTCCTCGTTTCGAATGTAGGGCAAGATCCTCTCGGCTACCAAGTCTGGCTTCCCCCAATCCAACCTGAATGACCAACCCTTGGGGCAAGATGCGGAGAAATACTTCTTCTTCCAGTTATGCATGGATGACGGGTTGTCGACCACCCTCCCATGACGCGCCTGGAACTGGAAGTAGTAAATACCCGCTTCGGAGCGATGTTGCCTCAGGACGAATATGCACTGGAAGATCTTCGTTGTCAACTCGGTGCCTCGGAGTCGAGCCATCACCATCACGGTGATAATGGTCCTGACGGTGTTGGGGTCAACTGGCTTAGGGAGATGTTGTAACACCTCAACAACTCGAGGATGAGGGGAGGAAGGGGGAACCTAAGGCCAAATTGGAGTTAGTGCTCGTGAACGCACACCTCACCCTCCTTTGTCTGCCACGACTAATCGCTAGTGTCAGGGACCCTAAGTCTGTACCCCTTCGGGATGTAATATTACTTAGAAAGAGCCTTCACTTGCTCTATGCTAAGCGTTCTATCTAGCTCAAAGCATGCAAAGCACTCCACTACTATCCCCGGGCAGCACACTCAGCCACCAACCTTGGGCTCGGCTCTGGGGCTTTGTCACCTTCCACCACATCGGGTGACCCCAAGGCACCATCGGCATCCCTCGACCTCATCGACCCGACACTCTCATGGGGAGACTCATCACCCCGTCGGCTGCACTCAGCGCCTATAGGGGCAGTCCTCTCCCTTAGCACACGGATCTTGGGCCTTGGAGCAGGGCCCTCAGACTCACTTGCATAGCTCTCGCTACTGCTAGCCGAGGTGGTAGCACGAAGCAAGAAAGCGTTCGATTCCTTAGGACACTCAAAACATTTAGGGCCAGAGTCGGAGTAAGATATGGCCATTATTTGGGTCTTTACCTAATGGATGGGGTCTTGGAGAGTTTAAAGGTGATGTAAGTCGAAGGCTGAGGTCTCTGAAGGTTCTAGCTCTCGAAGGCAAATGGTGAAGACTAACTCAACTAAGTGCCCCATTTAAAGAAAAATGGACGACTTAGATCATCTTTGATCCAACAGTCACAGAGTGACTGCCTTAATAGTCTGAATCGATGCCCAACATGTGTCGATTGCCATGGGAAGACGAAACAACACCGAGCGAGTCATCAGTCCACTCATTGAGTCAAGCAGTTCGCTCACCGATCCAAAGCCAGAAGCAACTCGACCCGGTCGACCAATTGCTCATCTCGCGTACGATCATGATGCAATGACCTGTCTCATGTACGATCACGACCCGTCGCTTGTTTCAGGCACGGTCCTGACCCTTCGATGTCGAGACTTGTCGCGCAAATGGTCAGTACCTGGCATCGAGACCCGTCTCCTGTACAGCCACAACTCGTTGACGTCAGCACCCGTCTCGTGCACGGCCATGGTGTGCCCTCTCATCACCTGTGCCCCATACGGTAGCAACCATTTGAGGCCGATGCCAGACCCATCAACACCTCTATGAAGCACTCAACTGTGGAGCACATGCGTTTTGTACCCATGCCATGCACTGTATCGAGTTCTCAGAAGTCGAGGCCAATGCCTCTACACTCCTAGTCCTCCACAACTCTCTCAAGAGGCGGAACTGGCAAAGTAGCTACCACAAAGACAAGGGAAACCCTCTGAAGCCGAGGCCAACGCCTCTGGAGCCAGGTTATCTTCAATGAAGCCAAAGCCAGAGCCGACGTTTGCATGCTTTTGAGCTAGGTTATCTTCAATGAAGCCAAAGCTAGAGCCAACGTCTCCATGCTCCTAAGCCAGGTTATCTCCAAAGCTGAGGCCGACGTCTCTGCACTTAAAGACAAGGCTCTCCCTAGCAAAGCCAAAGCCGAAGCCGAGGTCCTCGCCAAAGCTAGCCACTTAGCACCTCCTAGCAAGGATAATACACTCTCTTTGGTAGAAGCCGAGGTCCTCACCTAGACGTCTACCACGGCCTTGAGAGTGGGGGCAAATGATGTAGGCGCACATGGCAGACCCAATGGCATGGGCGCACATGGCAGACCTAAGATGGCAACGTGTGGCACTAGGTAGATTGCATCCTGGCTGTTTGGTCGTAACTAACTCCATGCAAGTTCATCTATAAATAAGTGGCATCACTATGAGGTAATCCATCTTGGCATTTACTGCTCTAAGCGCTCTACCTTCCTTGTGACCTCGTCTGAGCTATTCTACTTAGGTCTTGTCTGACCACTTATATCTCACCTTGCTAACTTGACTGTCGGAGTCTCCACCCCTGGGATAACACTCGGGGCCTCTGATGTGTCTCTTCCTCTACAGGTCAAACTTATAGGCCCTTGGCTTTACCAGCCTTCGGACACCTTAGCAAGCCCTCGTCTCAGAAGCGTAATTACATTGTTGCCCTCAGCCATCCTAGGCAGCAACAAAAACACAAAAACATTATGTAATAATACAGAACTTTGTAAATAACATTTAGGCACCAATATAATATTTTATATTAATCATATATTAAAGAAAAATAAGTGTAATAAATAATAATTCCTTTATTGATGTTTGAAATAAAATATAAAATATAAAACCAACACAAAAATGAAATTGTTTTCCTAGTGCTAGGTCAACAATTCAACCTTTTAGGTCATATTTGTCAACCACTGATTTCATAATTAAAATAAAAATTAAAAAAGATAAAAATACAAAAAATATGAAAAAAATTAGAAACTCTATAGAAAACATTTGTTCACATATCTAATATTTTATATTAATCATATTTAAAATTATATACGATAAACAAGAATTGTTTTAGACTTTTTTATTGATGATATAAATAAAATTAACCCAAAAGTAAAATTGTTTTTCCAGTTTAGTGGTAGATCAATTCAACATTTTAGGTCAGATGTATCAACTCGTGAAATTATAATATATAATAAAATTTTAAAAAGATAAAAACATAAAAATATACAAAAATATATAAATTATGTAAAAAACATTTGAGTATATCTCTTTATTAATGAACTTATGTGATAAATAAGAAAATTTTTATAAACATAAAAATATAAAAAACATATTATATATTATCACCGTCATCACAAAATTTATCACGTAAAATTATTTGTACTTTTTGTTTTTCTATGTTTTTCTTTAATAATTTATTTATTTTTTTTTTTTGAGAAATGAAATCGGATCTATCAAATTCTGCAGAGTTAGCAAGAAAATGTGCGAATAGTCAAAAACATTGCGCTCAGCTCTCAGTGCGTATGGTAGCAATTTAATAGCCCCTTGCTCTCGATTTAAAACCTTGGCAATTTGAAAACCAGGTGGGTTGGCTTTGCCTATCTGTAACTCTTCCCTCCATTGGAGAACGAAAAAGCTTCAGAGTTGAGGCCGCAGAGTTTAGATTCACGATGCTAGGTAAGGAAAACAACGCGGTGCCCACTAAGGTATGGTGCACAATTTAGAACTCTTAAATTTGTGATTCGATGTTTGTGGACTGAGGGGTTTGTATTATATTCCTTGTTTGCAGGGGGACAAATCGAAAGAGAAGATAAGGTATCGATGGAGCTCACAGAAGAAATCATCCAAAGCATGGAAGTTGGTATGGTCTTCAAGGACTATGTGAGTATCTTCAATTCTCTCGATAGGTTTGATCGGTAGATTTATATTTATGTTCAGTGGTTTTCTTATGTTTTGTAAGTGCTAATTTTCCAGAGAGGGAGTTTCTAATTATCAATTGCCCTTAATTCTTCCTTACTTTTGAACCTTAACCCTAATTGTTATTACACGCTTATTTGGTTGAGACGAAAAAACTAAACCAATTTTTGTTGTGCAAAATTGTTCCTGGTTTTCGTGTTGGTTTTCATGTCATATGATTACCGATTCTTATAGCTTTGTTATTGGTGGGTTTTTATTAACTTTTCTAATTTGGGTCATTTAAACCCCAATTAATAGCTAGGATGTTCTCTACTCTATAAACACCGCTACGTCAATGCCTGCCTCTTCGGACTACCCTTCAACTCCCCTGGGTGCATATATGGTTGTATTTAAATAATCATAATTCGGCTTGTTAGTGTTGGCTCGTAAATCACGATTTCTGGCTTAAATTGTGGATCAATTGAGTGGACTCGGCTCAGTGTTTTATCATTTGGGTGGTGAATTTACTAATGTTTAGTTATTCATCAACTTGGTTTTACCAAAAGAAAGTTATTCATCAACTTGGTTTATTAATTTGTGAATCTAGTTATTGGCTTAAAAAAGAAAAAAAAACTACTTATCCTTTTTGTTATGATGTAAACTATCCAAATACAATACTGCATTTGTATTTGTCTCTAAACCATATGATTGTTGTGTGGTTGAATTGTTAAATTACACAACCTGTGTACATAACTTACAGGTGCAAGTAGGCTTTGTGAGTAGACACTTCTAAATTGGTTGATTGTAACCAAATATATTTTAATACCATGATATTTCAAAAGGAAACCACATGATGAAAAGCTTGTTTTATTAATTCTAGATTATGTTCAACTCTTCTTCTTCTTCTTCTTCTTCTTTTCATTTTACTCTGAAAATTTTGTTGAATTGACTTATCAACAACTGGTCTAGGGCAAACCAATGAGGAAGGGCACTACTACCTTGAAATTATAGTGTCAGCTTTAGCCTATCAATCTGAGGATGAAAAATTTCCACCATATCTGGAATAGATAATAATGCAATTATCCATAGAAACAAAACATGCATACAAAAGTGAGAAAAGGAAGGAAACTATTTTCTTTTACCACTTTTAGAAATAATAACAGGGGTATATTACTTAGGACATGATGCTGTTATGTTACAATTTATAATTATTATGTGTATCTTATGATTTGTTTCATGAACCTTACTAATTATCCAGTTCAAATGATTCAAATCAATTTGATTATGACCTAGTTTTGTACCTTGTCTTTTCTTTATTTTATTTTTGTTATTGGAATTTATGTTAAACCCTTACTAGAATAAGAAATGTTTGGGTTACGTAGGAGAAACCCTTTTAAAAACTACAATTATCAGTGTTTCCTAACTTGCTGCTTAAGCATTACCAAGGAGAAAGATTTTACAAAAAGAAGTAAATATATTAAAAATAGGGAACATACCTATAGTTTGTTGTTGTGCTCTATATGCTTATTGAAATCATCTGAATGGGCAATTTGTTACTGTTTACCTTTTTCTCTTAAATGTTCTTTGCATCTCATGTTTGTTTAGTTTTCCAGCTGGAGTTTATGGTTTTCCTATGGATCTTGATTCTATTCATAATAATAGAATTGATAGGTCAACCAGCATGTAGCACTTTATTTGCACTTCTGAGTTCTGACCTGTCTATAGGTGTTTTACTTCTGAGCTGAACTCAAGAAGCTTGAGCTATATATATTATAATTTGGAGCCTGTTGGGTTTTGGTTTTTACAATGTTACTAGCTTTGTTCCTAAGAATATCCTGAAGTTTTGGTTTTCCTGTTTTGTGGTACATCAGTTCATCATCAGTCATCAGAATATGCTTCATTTTTCTTGCCGATTGTTTAACTATAATCTTATATTAACATGATAACTACTTTTTGCAGAATGGTAGAATCAGTTCAATGGATTTTCACAAGACATCAAGTTATCTGGTAACAGCTAGTGATGATGAATCAATTCGCCTCTATGATGTACCCAGTGGAACGTATTCCTCTTTCATTTTGACTTTCATTTAAGATATGCTTGTCAACTCTCTGTTGTATGCTGTTTAGGGCTTTTGTTGTTTCAATTATTTAGGAAGACATACAAAAGTGAAGCTCTTTGGAGAAATTTACTAAAGAAAGCCACATTTTAATGTTCTCTAGTAGGTGTAAAGTTGCTCATAATAACTTAGTGGATTCCTTCATACTAGCATTTGTAATCTACGTGTTAGTAAAGGGGCTTAGGGGGTGCTAGTCAAGTTTCCAATTTGAAGAATTTACATTGCAACAGATCCTCACCCTCGGCCAGTCTCATTTGTTGACCTCCCAATTCAGTTGAACTGGTAAAATCAGGAAAAAAAAGCTATCTTCATTGGTTGACCTCCCAACTCGGTTACTTAGAAATTTCTTAGAAACCCAAACTGGAGGTCTCAGTTTCTACTTACACTATCCTTGTTTTTTTGCATTTCCATCCTAATCGAAATTTGGTGGTTGTTGCATTCTTTATATGCAAATTTTCCAGTGCTTTCTTTTCCTTTACTGTTCTTGATGATAAGAACCATTCCATCCTCTCAGATGCTTGAAGACCATTAATAGCAAAAAGTATGGTGTTGATCTTGTTTGCTTCACTTGTCATCAAACAACAGTTATATATTCTTCAAAAAATGGTTGGGATGGTAAGTTAATTTACATGTGGTTTTTGCCCAACAAATTTTTTCTTAGAAAACTCATTTATTTAATCAACTTATTCAGAATCACTGCGGCTTCTTTCATTGCATGACAACAAGTATTTGCGGTACTTTAAAGGACACCATGACAGGTATTGCTTCTTCGCTTGATAACAATTATCTTTAACTTAGTGCTTATGCCCAGTATAATACACTGGTGATTATTCTTCTGATGTCTTCTTTAATTAGGGTTGTATCACTCAGCTTCAGCTCTAGAAAAGAATGCTTTATTTCTGGCTCTCTTGATCGGACTGTTTTACTTTGGGATCAACGAATTGAGAAGTGTCAGGTTTGTGGCCTTAGCAAATTTGCATCCAATATGGAGATTTGCTACTTTTTTGAGTTGATTTATGATTCTATTTATTGTACCATAGGGCCTTTTACGTGTACAAGGAAGACCTGCAATTTCTTATGATGAGCAAGGATTAATATTTGCAATTGCCTTTGGAGGTTATATAAGATTGTTTGATGCTCGCAAATATGAAAAGGTTGGTAGCTGCATAGTTGCTTCTTTTTTTTTTTTCTGAACTCAACAATTTTTATTTGTACTTATTTGAGCACTCCTGTTGTCCTCAGGGCCCTTTTGACATCTTTTCTGTTGGGGGAGATACATCTGATGCCAATGTAGTAAAATTCAGTAATGATGGGAGACTTATGCTTTTGACCACAATGGAGGGGCATGTTCATGTACTGGATGCATTCCGTGGTACACTGGTGAGTCCTGCTCCCAAGTTGCAACATTTCAGAAAACAATACCGTTTGTGCAATTTCTTTGACATCAGTCTCTACTTAGTTGACAGCTACATCATTGTCTGGGTTTGGCTTGCATTGAGATCTCCTGCAACCTGATCTAACTTAGTTGAGAACTACATCATGCCATATTTTATATAATAAACTAAATTCTTATGCTTACTGGATGTCTATTTCATTGCTGTTGTAAGAGAAAAGAACTCAAACCTCTCCAAGCTAAAGGGTCTGTTATTTCAGATCAATGATAATGTTGGTTAAGGTGAAATTGATTCACGTGGATGAAGACATTAGGTTAGACTAACATTATATAGTTATTGTTTGCATGTTTTTTGTTTAAATTTGTAGGCTTATATTAGGGTTTATGTACATGTTAAGTTTACTGAGATTTGGATCAGATCAGATTCAGATATCTAAATTTCTTATCTGATAAGATCTGGATTTACCAATATCCAAATCCAATCTGACCTGTTTCATCCCTATTCCAGTTTGTTATGATACTGAGACCTAGCAGCTGATCTGATTTGACTGAGTGAGCCAAAATTATGACCAGCTTGTTAGGAATGGAAGCTTAATATTGAAGCTTTTATTCACATTAAATTTGACAATACCTGCCTAAGGGTGTATTACCCTAGGCAATATGTTACTTCTGCTTAGATTTAGCCTTTTTTCTGCTGGTAGTTGAATCTCTTATATGCTTACTTTAAGCTTCTGCTACTGTAGCTATCCACACATAATGTTATGCCAGTTTCAAGTGGCTCCACCTTGGAGGCATCTTTCAGCCCTGAGGGAATGTTTATTATATCAGGTAATGCAAAGTCCTCTATCATTTCTTTCTGTTTTTTTTTTTTTTCCTGAGGAAATCTTTTCTTTTTTCCAGTGAGCCCACTGGCAACATCACCTAGGGAGAAAATAAACCTAATTTAATGAATGCATGGATCCAGTCTATAGGCTCCCTTTTATGCCAGAAAAAGATTTTTATTGGTCCCAAGAAAAATAAAACAACATGAAAATGACTATTGGTACCAATCAGGGTGTTCTTTAGCATATGAAGTCACTTTTGAAGCATTATCCTGGATTTAGTCCATGCTAGTATTTGATATGACAAGCCCCTTTATTCAACTTGCATAAAAAGGAAGAAAAAATCCAAGTAAAAGAAAACAAAAGATTATTCAGACTGCTCATAAATTGGAATGATCTTGTAAGCTTTGTTGATCTGCTTTTCCTCCTTTTCAGGTTCAGGGGATGGTTCTGTCTATGCCTGGAATGTCAGAACTGGAAAAGAAGTATGATGCAAAAACTTTTCTATTTGATTCTACCGCATATCTGCTTTTGTTTTCTCTTACTTTTCTGTTTTTTTTTTTTTTTTTTTTGATCAATAACAAGATGCTTTATTAGATTATACAAATTGTGAAACTTTAAGTACAAGAAAGGGGAGGTAAAATATCTTAACTCCCCCACAACAGAGAACAAGAAAGAAAGATAAAAATTAGCCCAAAACAAAGAATCGTTGAGCACCCCTTGCTTGGCTAACCCATCAGCCATTGAGTTAGCACTTCTCTTCACCCAACTGTACTTCACCTCAATATGCCTACTTAGCCATTTGATTTTTTTTCTTTTCATTTCTGTAGCTCCACAAGCCATTGCTGTCTTCCTTCAGCCACCTAATCACCACCTCCGAGTCCCCTTCAATGACCAAGCACCGAATTTTACTTTTTTGGTTTTGTTGTTACATTAGTACCTGCCACTAGCGGAAATGAGCATGGGCAAAGAAGAGAAAATAAATAAATAAACATGTCGAGTGCATTCAATATGTTAATGCATTCAGCTTGTTAATCCAAAAAGTTACCATACGTAGGTTTCAAACCTTTTTTTTTTTTTTTTTTTGAAAAAGCCCAACGGCAGAATCATTGAAATTGATCATCTAGTACAGGTTTCAAACCATTTTTAAATGGCTGTTTGTAAAGATTTTTTATCAGCATCATGACCAAAAGGGCTTTATATTTGGAGATGGCTCAAGAGAGGAAAGAATGAACTGTAGAAACATTACTAAAATTAAATACGTATGCAAATATAGTCGACCGCTCAAATGAACCCCAGGGCCTGGATTTGTAAAGATTTTTTAAATGGCCTGGTCCTTGTATCTTTTACCATTTTGACCTGCATTCTCTTGGATAGGTGTATGAACTGTAAAGGAAAAAAGGATGCCACCAACTTGACCTGCATCTTTGTATCATTTCTTACGACACTGGCAGACGAAATATTAGATCAACATTAAAAATGCCATCTTTCTAAAATGAAGAACATTAACAGACTATAACATGTGATTAAGAAAAAGTATTGAAAAACACCTAACAGACAAAACACAGAACAACTAAAATTAAAAACCAAACCATAAAATATGAAATAAACTTCAAGATAAGTCAGTAGTTTTATAAAATATACATGCACAATGAAGTGAGAAACAATCAACAATCTTAGAAAAAACAAGGAGCAGTGACAAAGAAAGAATACTATATGAAGACAATAAGATAGGAATTTCTATAAAGACTCATGTACAATAAAAATAATAAGGTAAACAAAAAATTAAATCCTCCAATGCCTGTCACTTCCCCTCCCTTCTCTTTCTCTCCTCTCCTCCAGGCCCTTCCCTCTTTTGTCACCCAACCCTCTCTCCCCCTATCTGTCACCACCCCACCCCTACAATCCACATGCCCTACCCCACCTTCATAAATGTGCAGAATCAAATAAACCATGATACATCTAAAAGAAAATTCCTCTGAAACACTATTTATATAACAGATAGGAGATAATGGTGAAACAGCTACGTGAAAAATGCATAGCTTAAAAGGGAAGTTCAGATAAAACATTATAAAAACTGGACAAAAATTTGCAAATCCTAAAGAGAAGATTTTAGTAGGAGCAAGTCCTATCATATAGCAAAAAGGGAAGCAAAAAAAGAGTGGAAATTCATTACTCAATAGTGCACAAAGTTAATGATATGAATTGATGAGTTAAATTTCTAGAAGGTAAAGGAAATGAGATATTGACAAAAAAGATGTATAAAAATAAGAAATTGATGGAGGTGACCATGATTGAAATTTAAGGAAAAAAGAAAATCAAAGCTGAAACTTTGTAGAGAGAAACAGCTAACAAACCTTTTTCTCTTTCAAAAACAAATAAAAAAAGAACATTAATTAGCCACACTAAGAACATAAATAGCCCCTCTCTCTCCCTCTCCCCCTCCTCCATCTCTCCTCTACAATTCCATACGGAAAAAACATGCTGATTTTGGAGTTTGAGTTCATGAAAGTACGAAGACGATGCAAGTACATGTTATGCACAAAGGTTGGCAAAACATGAGTCTAATGGTTGGATGCAAATTATGTATCATATATGTATCTTATACATAACCCGATTGCGCAGATGTGACCTTGTTTATCTGGGTTTCTTCTTTGATTGTCCATCTCCTTGTTGGTCGTCCTTCCCTAAAAAATCCAAAACGCTAAAATAATGCAAACAACAGCAGCAGTAGAATGAAGGTGAGGTGAAGAAAGCTGTTAGTTCAGTGAAAGAGCTAATGCAATGATATCTTATGTCCTCTCTGTTTTCTATTTTTTGGGCAGTGGTAAAGAGGGGGAAATTAAGGAGAGATTGAGAGTTCTTGGTAAGAATGTAAGAGAACATGAGAGCAAGAGGGGAGCTTGGAGAAGGCTCTAGAAAGAGAGTTTTGGGGGAGACTGGCATTGGCTGTTGTACCTAAGGATAAGCTTGTGGGCCAAGCCTCTCCTGTCACCCAAGAGAGAGGACAAATAAGATGGGGAGTTTTTGAAAATTCAGCATTGAGGGAGAAAGAAGGGGAGATTTTGGAGGACAGAGAGAAAGCACACAATAAGAAATCGGGAAAGGAAAAGAAGAGGGTCAAAAAATAAAAGAAGAAATAAGAGGATTAATACTTTTTTTTTTTTGAAAAAAGTTAACTAATTTTATTAATGAAAGACCATCTGCAATTGCATTTAGCTCCCTTGGCATCCAGGATAGAGAAACATTCATATGAGCCAGGAGGTCCCTTGCCTCTGATAGGAAGTGACTAAGTCTCCAAGGTTCGGCTTCTTGTTGTTCCAACCATCTTATAGTATTGGCTGAGTCACCTTCAATTGAGAAGCTTTGAATGCCCAGTTTGCTGACTAAGCGAATCCTTGTTTGAGCTGCTAACACTTCTGCCTTTGTGGAGTCGGCTATCCCAATTGGACCACTATAAACCCAGCAGGTGTGGCCATTCTCGTCTCTTAGAATTCCTCCTATGCCGGCGGCTCCAGGGTTACCATAAACACTTCCATCAAAGCTAAGAGTCCAGAGTCCTACCCTTCTAACTGAGGGAGCTCTGGAGGGGGGTAGGGTAGGAGGGGAGGAAACCAGGAAGTTGTATATGTTTCTTCTGAGATCATTGAAAATAACTCCTGTGAACTTCTCTGAACTAGAGGCCCACAAGTTGCAGTTGTGAGTGATGTGGTTGATCAGCTCACCCTTAGATTTTGACCTATTTTCAAACAGCCGATTGTTTCTTTCCTCACAAATTCCCCAAAGAACAGCATGCAGAATTATCAGCCAATAGGTCTTACCTCTCTTGCTCAAACCTCTTCCTTGCCACTGAGAAATCAGGTCCTGAAGATGATTAGGAGCCACCCAACTGAAGCCAACTAAATGAAGAAAGAAGTTCCATATGCTGCTTGCTACCTGGCAATGTATGAAGAGATGGTCTGTTGTCTCTCCTTCACGTAGGCAAAGGGTACAGACGTGAGGGGAGATATAAAGCTTCCAAGATTTTTCTTCTGCAGTAACTCAGAAGTGTTCACTCGCTGCAGGGAAGCCTCCCAAACAAAGAAACTCACTCCTGAGGGTATAAACTTGCACCAGATCTTCTTATAAGGGAAGTCACTGTCTCGGGTACTTGCAACCAGAGCTTCGAAGAAAGACTTGGACGAGAACTCACCTCCAGGATGGGGTTTCCAGACTTGGGAGTTTTAGGAATTTGGGGAGATGTAGGCTTCACTGAGAGAAAGAAGGAGTTCAATTAGCTCACTGATCTCCGGATCCCTAAAGGGTCTTCTGAGATTCAAGTTTAGGTTTCTTCCATTGCTAGAAAGGGGAAGGCACTGGGAGATGGTTGCACCCTTATTTAGAGTAAGGTTATAGAGCCTGGGATACAAATCTGCTAATGTGGAGTTGCTCCACCACAAACCCGTCCAGAATTTTATTCTAGTACTGTTACCCACCTTGTATCTGATGAAAGAAATAAAGAGGTTGTGGATAGCAGAAATACCTTTCCAGGGATTTGAGAAAGCTGATCGGTTTGAGCGGAGATTGCAATCCCAACCGTTTACATTTAACCCGTACTTGCTGGTGATGATAGTTGCCCATAGAGAATTTGATTCCGTGGGGAATCTCCACAGCCATTTTCCAAGAAGGACAATGTTTTTCTCTTTTAGATGCCCGAGTCCTAATCCTCCAGCCTCTTTTGGTTTACAGACCTGATTCCAATTTACTAGGTGCCCTTTTTTTACACCTCTGCCTTCCCAAAGGAAATCTCTTTGGATTTTTTCAATCTGTGATCTGATTCTTGCAGGGATCGGAAATACTGATAGGAAATAGACAGGCATGTTTGCAAGGGAGGCCTTAATAAGTGTAATTCTACCCCCTTTTGATAGGTAGCGGCTTTTCCAAGTAGCTAACTTCTTTTCACACTTTTCCACTCGACAATTCAGAATTTCCTTGAAATTCTCCATCAGGGACTCTTCGATCTGGTTTATTGCTGCTAGGCTACTCTTTGTGTAATTTACCTTCAGCCCCGATACTAATTCAAAACACTGAAGCATTCTTTTCACATTTGAGATGTTCTCCGAATTGGCTTCCAGGAATAAGATGACATCATTGGCAAAGAGGAGGTGGGAGACATTTATGGCATCTCTTCCTACCTCAAAACCTTTGATCAAATTAAGGTTTTTAGCTTTCTCCAAAAGCTGGCTAAAAACATCCATTACCATTGTAAAGAGGAACGGGGAGAGGGGGCATCCCTGCCATAGACCCCTGCTAGCTTTAAAATAACCTTTGGGCTCTCCATTGATCATGGTTGAGAACCAGGTAGAACTAATACAGCCTTTCATCCATTGCAGCCATTTTGTACCGAAACCCTTCAAATTTAGGATCTGGAGCAGGCAATCCCAATCAACTTTACCATAAGTTTTTTCAATGTCTAGTTTCACTAGAAGGCCCTTCCTTCCACTCT